TCTAAGTACAAGACATTAGGATGACCAAGACGATAATGCCATAACTGAATTTGAGTATCAAATTGACTCCTACTAAGACTCCCTAAGAACTTATGGTTGAATTGACTCTCACGGGAAGTTGTCTTGTTGGTGGAGTTGGGTGAATGTGGTGAATGTTCCAGAAGATAGAGTCCACCACTTTGCTTAGCACTGCCAATCATCCTCCCCGAATCCAAATCCTGAAATTCACACAATTGTGAAGAGAATTTAGTTAGGCAATGTGTATCACTATTCAATTTACTGACTGATAAGAGGTTAAACTTTAAATCTGGAACATATAACACATTGTTAAGCACTATCTTGTCAGAAATTTTGACTCTTCCAGTCTCTTTTATTGCTGAAGTAGTTCCATCAGCAATCTTCACAGTTACCTTATTCTTCATAGGGATCAATTCAGCAAAAAACTTACTGTCTCCAGTCATGTGATCTGATGCCCCTGAATCAACAATCCAATAGAGCTGATTGTGTGCAACTAGGGTTGTTAGGGCATTACCTGTCTGAGCAGTAAGGCTAGTTGATGGTGCAGGCCCCTTGCTCTGACTTATTAGATGTTGAAGAACCTCAATCTGCTCATTGGTAAATGCAGCAAGATTAGAAGTGCCCATATCTTCTTTATCTCCAGTAGCTACATAGGCTCCTTTCCCTTTGCTTGGTTTGAAATCTTTAGGTTTACCATGCAAATTCCAGCATGTTTCTTTGGTATGGCCTGGTTTCTTACAGTGATCACACCATGGCCTCCCTTTTTTCTTGTTTTCATTCTGTCTGGAAGAGGTATATAAGGCTGACCCTTCAATATTTTGTTGTTGGCCTTGAGATTTCAGACCCATCATTACCTTCCTTCTGCTTTCTTCTCTTCTGACTTCTGAGAAGGCTTCTCTAAGGGTGAGTTTCTTTCCCATTATTCTGCCCCTAACCTCATCTAGACTCTTGTCTAAACCTGACAGGAATTTGAAGACTCTCTTCCTTTCACAGATCTCCTAATATAACTTCTTATCCTTAGAACATGACCAATTGTATGTCTCAAACACATCAAGATGATGCCAGAGTCTCACAAGGTTGTTGAAGTATTGAGTTACACTCAATTCTCCCTACTGAAGGTTATGTAGCATTGATTCAACCTCAAATAATTCAGAAGTGTTATCTGAAGTTGAGTATGTTTCTTTCACAGTCTCCCAGATCTCTTGAGCTGTTTTGTATAGTAGGAAATTTTCTCCTATACTGGTTGTCATGGAATTGATGAGCCATGACATCACAGTATAATTCTCCTTTTTCCACTTCTTGTAGCCTGGATCTCCTTGATCTGGAGCAGGTGCATCACCTGTCAAATAGTCTTCCTTGTCTTTTCCACACACATACATCATAACGGACTGAGACCATTGTAGATAATTACTACCATTCAGTTTATGGCAAGTAATAATCGAATCTGACTGATTAGGAGTGGTGACTGTGCTTCCATTGATATTCTGGTTGCTGCCATCTCCAGTTGGGACAACCTCTGAATGTTCAGAGGTCACTGGGATAGATCCATCTCTCTCGGTGGTCATCCCATAGGATCCGAACTTAATCATTTTAGAGAATAACCACGCTCTGATACCATGTAGAAATAACTTGAGAAAGTAAAATGTATTTTATTTCTCTTATTCTGTGTAATACAATGAGATGAATACACAATATATATAGCTAGAGAAAAGTGGAATAAGGAAGGAATCCTCCTAATTAAGATTCCCTAATAAAGACAAGATAATTGGGGATATTTAGAGATTCTGAGATCTCTAAGATATCTCCTCATAAATGCTAAATCGGATGAGTAATTATCTGTAATAATCTACATATAACAAAGAGGGAAATAGTAGTTTATTGATGAAGCAAGCTTCGACTTAGGCAACAAGTATCGGGACTCTTAGGCAACCGGGACTTAGGCAACAGATAATCAAAATCAGTCCCCCTATTACACTACTCCCCTTTCCTATTTATAGCATTAAGTCCACGCAGGGACTAAAATAGCTAAAGTAATTACTAAACTGACCCCCAGCCCCTTTATTTCTCCTTTCAAATACCCTATTAAAAATACTAAATAGGCAGATTCCTAACAAAAGACCACTTTCAGATGATGTCATAAAAAACATGAGCACAAATTTACAGAGAAAAGGACCGGATGCCTCGTTCATGAGAGCTTGGAACGTGGATGGTGCATTGCAGAGGCCAAAAGCCATCACAAAAAAATCAAAAAGCTCATGATAAGCCCGGAATGGGGTCTTTTCAATGTCAGCTGTATGCATACGAATCTGATGGTAGCCAGATCGTAAATCAAGTTTAGTGAATATTTTGGCACCATGTAATTCGTCCAAGAGCTCATCAATTATCGGGATCGGAAATTATCTTTGATTATCCGCACATTGAGTTCGCGATAATCCAAACAAAAGCGCCCAGAGGAATCTTTTTGTGAACCAGTAAGATTGGGGAAGAAAAAGGCGATCCGCACAAATTTATCTTGTTTGTGATTTTCCGTTCACTCATTGTCGTTCAATTTCATCTTTCTACAATTGAGGGTATCGATAGGGACGAACAACCACAAGAATTGTACCAAGTGAAAGCACAATGTGATGATGACAATGACGTTGAGGAGGCAGTGCCACTTGTGTCGAAAAAATAGTTTCAAATGAAGAGAGTAGTGAATCGAGTGCAGCAGTCTCTGTCAATTGTGGTTGGAGGTGATGGAGGATGAAAAGGTAGTATCATCACATCATGCTCCGCAGATCAGGCAACTCTTCCACCCTTCCAAATAAAAGACATTTGTAGCGTCTCAAATGGGGCCCGATGTATGAAGCCATTTAAGGCCCAAGACGAGTTTGACACCTGTCAGGGGAATGACGAACAAGGTGGTTAGAGAAGATAATTTTTCATACTGTAACAAGACTTGCTAATTAAGTATCGGTGTGGAGTAATAGGCAGTTGAAGACGCTGCGTGGTGGCTCTGATGATGAAGTTATCGGTGTGGCCGGTGTCGATTAAATTAAGTATCGGGCTGCCCGCTATAATTAAGTGAACCTTCATCATGTGTGAATGGTTAAGGCCTAATATGGCATTCAGGGAAATTTTCGTCTCTCTGTCACCGCCCACGTCATCTTCCTCAGATGCCTCATTATCAAGAACACCTAACATATATAATTGTGGTTTACAACGATGGCCTTTGATCCATTTGTCATCACAATTGTAACAAAGCCCCAACTTTTGGCACTCTAGCATCTCTGTTGGTGACAGTCTCTTGATGCGGGCAGAGCGAGATTGGCCTCATCCAACGAACCTGGTCTCATCCGTTCAACATCAATATGAAGTGTTTCATCTACGCCAGCAGTGAAGAGGGGAGGGGAACTTGTTGACGATAGAGAACATCATCAGTACGGGAAAGGAGTGTTTGGAATTCTGCAATATAATCATCGATAGGTTTACCCCGTTGTTTGAGGTTTACAAGTTCCCCCAGGGGATTAATACTTCGCGGGGGACCAAAGCGAAGGATGCAAGCCTTCTTGAATTGGAGCCACGAGAATTGTTCACCATCTTGTAGACGTTTGGTAAACCACAACTGAGCAATCTCAGTCATCTAGTATGCGGCAGTGTGAGCTTTTTCAGAATCGGAATGAGGAGCTTTCTCAAAAAAAGTTCACAATGGCGTAGCCAAACGAGTGGATCCTCTGCACCCGTAAAGGTAGGAAACTGCGGTTTGATGTATCGGGTCGGAGGGTTAATTTCAGTCTGGACGGCGGTCGAAGAGATAGGTATTGTGTGTTGTGGAAGAGGTTACCTGAGTAGTAGAGTTGTTTTTCTCCATGAAAGTTTCCATTACTTTGGCAAGGCTACCAAAGTTCTTCACAGCATCGGTCAAGGAATTCACAGTAAGGGCGTCAACATTTTGCATTGTGGTGGTGAGATCCTCTTGGAGTTTCTATAATTCTGCCATGTCGACGCCTGGCAACGGAATCAAAATGTTATGTTCCCATGCTAGATATGGCGTCAACCCGCGGTTGGTGAGGGCAGGGAGATGGGAGTCCTCTATTTTTGTACGTAATAACGGAAAAAAAGGGAAGACAGGGAAGGAGATAAAACTTCAGGAATTTTATGGAGTTCCTTTCTCATTGATAAGTACTAAATTCTGGCTTGTTTATTGTTCAAAGTAGGAGTCCCTACTTATAGTAAGGGTTACAAGAACCACCAAGGAAGGAGAAGATTACATTAAATCAATTCTTAAAAAAGACTCATCTAATGATGGAAAGCAATAAAGTTGCAGATCAACTTAACTAAGGAAAGTAATTAACTAGTCTAATGATGGATAGCAATCAAACAATAAATCAGAAATCTGTTGTAAACAAATCTGATGCTACGGCGCTTATAGGTCTTTCCGTAGAATGCATCATAACGGGCGACCAATGTTGGTACCCACACTTCCTTTTGTCACTCCTGCGACAACACAGTACTCGAGGTCGGGTAAGTCTAACCGAAAGAATCCACCCCGTTTAACAAGGTAATGTGATAAATGTGATATAGTCTTATTTGGTTCAGGTTGTCATATTATAAGTAAAATTGAGATTACCTCAATTAAAGAAAATGAGGTAACATGCATTGACGAAATCTATTTACCTTGGGTTTCTTAGGTCTTCTAAGTTTACCTTGGTAATATTTTAGACTAGTCCGACTTTGTCTCTAACAAACATTTTAATGAACTACGTAAACACAGATTCAATGAACAAAGCAGATTAAGGTAAACTAAAAATTTAATAAGCTACATAAACACACGTTCAATGAAGAAAACAGATTAAGGTAACCTTATATTCCTGTAATCATGCATTATCTTATGAATGGTAATCCAATTATTATCAAAGGTAATCATACATTCTGAACCAAACGCCTCCTATTTATTATGCAAAGCATGACAAACACCAACATATGAAAACTGAAATATATACCTTGACATTCCAATCATTATCTACCAATAGATTCGGGGACTTCAGATCACGATGAACAATAGTTGGTGTGCTTGTATGCAAGCAATTCATGCCCATTGCCTGCATAGAGAGCATCTAATTTTATAGAACTGAAGAAGGCCAGCCAATAGAATTATAGCAGACCGAAAGTTTGAAACTTGGAAAGAGATTGGTCAGGACAATAATCTTATACAGTTATACCACATCAAGAGCCATTTTGATTCTGCGCTTCTCGTCTATTTGAGAGTGAGGACGATGAATTATCCGGAACAAGCTTCCACTGGAAAAGAATAATAATGATACCAACCCGAGTTAGTGATCTCTGTTAAGCAGTATCATAAACACACAAGACCCCCTTGTCCCAAAATAAAGTCTTGGTTCACAAATGTACAGCTTTTTATTTTGTAAGGTACAACTGTAAAATAATTACATGCAACTTATTTGTTGGTTTAACTAAATTTGTTAATGCGACTTATTTGTGACTCTGATATGGCTTTTTGTCAATAACTTGAGCATCATGATGAAATGCAATAAAAGCCACCATTCCAAAGGCGAATTTAGGTTTAAATTTAGAACATATCAGGAGAGTCATGTGAGCATCATGATAAATATGCAGTAAAAGCCGACACTCAAAAGCGTAGTTTAGGTTTCAAGTTATACTGAGTTTCTGAGGAATAGGTAACAACATTCAACGTTTCCAAGGATATCCTTCGAATACAAAACTCTACGAAAGCACATTGCGCATAAAATGAAAATACCGAGGAAGAAACTCAGTGATGATCGAAAGATTTGGAGGTCTGGTTACTGCACCCATGAAAAGAACTACATTTGGATGTCTTAGGCGTTGCATTATCCGCACCTGTCATTAAAATGGTCTTAAATTAAGAACTAGATTCTATTAGTTTTTTAAGAGAGGAAAAGATTAGACATGACAATAAGTAAATAATGAAGAGCAGTATCTTTTAAGGTCAGTTTGAGATTTGGGTTTTGGATGGGAGGGATTTGGAGGGTAGAGTGTATATTTTGATATATGTTTGAGATTTTACTCGGTAGAAAAAGTAAGTACAAGATAATAGCATTTGGTAATACAATAGTCAACCTTCAATTTACAAAAAACGAGAATCCCCCCCCCCCCCCCCCCGGAGGGGCAATAGCCACCACCCAAAGATAGTCATATGATATATATGAATTGTATGAAGAAGAAGAAAAATATGCTGGAAGGAAGACAAAAGCAGGCAGACAGGAGCCCCATACTTCTCTTTTAAACTCAGCCAAAGCAGCACCAGAGAAATCCTGGTCAAGGAACTTCTTGACAGCAACCTCCTATTGTTTTAAACAATCCAGAATAAGAAACAATAAGCATAGTATTATAATTATGAGGTGTTCAGTATGAGATGAATCACATTATGTAATAAGTATCCCAAAATCTAAATATATACTTTTCAATTTTTCATATTTAAATCTTACTGTGCCATTCCAATCAGCGCGGTATACCTCTCCATATGAACCTGAATACATATAGGATATATACATAAAAATATTGATTGAGCAGTCTAATAAAGTAGTCATACCAATAGATAAATACTAAAACAGATATTTCCAAAGAAATAATAGTAGATCATTCAAACTTTTTTTAGGCATGATGCTTGTTGCACCCAAAATCAACAATAGTACATTCAAGTCATGTAAAACTATATGCTCTAACACTATCTGTGTAGAATTTGTAAAGGAAAAAAGTACATTAATCATGTCATCTTTGCCACTGTGTGAACTGAAAAGTGGCTTTATCCCATCTCTTCCTGTTCTGAACAATATGAGAACACAAAAAGAAAGAGGCACAAAAAGATGGGAGTTACACGAAATACTTAAACTGAACATTGTAATCAGATTCAGTGGTTGATGGACTTCAAAGCTGCCAGGAAGCATGCTGCTTTATTTTCACCCACAAAAAACACTTCTACCCAGAAAAAAACCATTATGCAGATCACATTGATTATCCATAATACAAGTACATAGTCTAACATCGCTAAAGTTCCACTGCAGACCTTAGTCCATTTATGAAGATAGGGGAAAGCACACATTTGCTCATTCAAGATATAAGAAAATTACCTAGTCCAATCCTTTCGCCAAGAACAAGATCTTCCCATGGAATTTCACATTCATTCACATCATCCAATACTTGATTAATCTGGGATAAGCTTAATCCTGTCGAAGTGTTTGAGTATACTGGCTCCTTAAAATCTGTTCCAGTGAACTTATGTTGGGTGCTCTTTCTGCTGTTATTCTGCAGAGTGACTTCCTGAAAATGAGCTCTGGTTGTGTCTGCATCATTACTTTCCAGGAGGTCCCCATCCATTTGATATGTTTGCTCAAGATCACTTCTCTGGTTGTTTTCAACAGAAGACTTCCTAAATTCAAAATGAGTTGCCAACATTGGAGGGGTATCAAATAAAACTTTCTGCTGTACAGCTGATGTGGAAGAAGCCACTGTTGATGCATTATAATCGTTTGCATCAAGTTTGATCTTTGGCAAAACATCTGGAACTTCATTGCATGCATAGCGATTTTTCCAATTCATAGGGACAGGAGGCTTGCCTGCGACATTTTTTGAAAACTGCACCCGACTGCCTGCGGTTCTAGAAGGGTTATTCTGAACCAAGCCAGACCCTTTTATTTGAAAGGGGTTGAGATCAGCAAAAAGATTTTTTGGGTCATCACTATGTGGAACATTCACATTCACCCTTGAACCGTCACTAGCAGCATTAGGTCCACGACCTCCCTTGTATAGGGACTTCCCAATCACCAATGATGTGATTTGATCCAACTGGTGAGAAGGAGAACCTTTGCTACTTAATCCTGGTGAACCTGCACCAACACTTGCCTCGGAAAACAATGGATTTGATTCTGGCCTTACTGGTCTCGTGACAGTTAAAATATCATTTCCAGTAGCATATTTTCTATCATCCAAGGAGTCGAGCCTGGAACCACTGGTTGAGTGGGCATTGGGAAGCTTATTATACGGCTTGAAACAAGTATCCTTTGTACCTAGAACCTCAGCTGGTATAAGTGTCCCGGGTGCGCCCATGAGATCAACCAAAAACTCACTGGCAAAGAACAAATATAGATGATGTGCAGAACAACAACATAATATAGCATACATACAACAACAAAGTATATACCTTTAAATGATAACATGTTGGTATGCATGTGAGTTTACTCCCTCCACAAATCTATCTTCCTATTTTTCATTACGGTCCATCCCATAATAAATTAATAATCATTATGTTTCCTTTCAAATAAGGAAAGAATTGTGTGGCTGACATTGTTTTTCCCTTTCTAAATAAATCTCAACCACAAAATTTTATCTTAAAAGACACACCAATGCCTGGGTGTGGTGATAAGAATGCTAAGGCTGCTAGGTCATCGCTCGGAAGCCACGCGCCACTCCAATGTCCGAGGATGGTGTCAGATATGCAAGGGCATGGTGGGGGTCAATGTGGTGTGAAGAAGAGAAGGCAGAGTGCTAGATTGCGTTTTGGGACATGGAATGTTGGCTCTCTTACGGGAAGACCATCTGAGATAGCCAAGATTATGAAGAGGAGGAATATCAGCATAATGTGCATGCAAGAAACTAAGTGGGTTGGAGAAAAGGCACGTGAGATTAATCCCGGAGGTTTTAAGCTGTGGTATTCGGGGAGAGAGAGAAACAAAAATGGAGTAGGTATTATGGTGGCACATAATTTTGTTGAGGATGTGGTTGAAGTCTTTAGGTAGAACAATTGCATCATGAGCATTAAGTTGATAATAGGAGATGAGATCGTGTCCGTGGTAAGTGCCTATGCACCACAAGTGGGATTGAATGCATCTATAACTCAACAATTTTGGGAGGATCTTGAGGAACTGGTGCGTCGAGTGCCAAGGGGAGAGAAGTTGGTCATAGGAGGCGACCTCAACGGGCAAGTGGGCCCAAGTCGTGATGGTTTTGAGAGTATCCATGGCGGACATGGTTTTGGCACTAGAAATGAAGCGGGGAAGAACATTCTATATTTTGCCTCGACATATGAGTTGGCTGTGATGAACACTTGGTTCAAGAAAAGAGACTCTCACCTTATCACCTATAGAAGTGGAGCTAATAGTACCCAAATTGACTACTTTTTAGTACGGGTGACTTGGAGAACTAGCTACACTGATTATAAGGTTATCCCAGGTGAGAGTGTTGTCACTCAGCATAGGATGCTTGTGCTTGATTTTTAAGGTAAAAAGAGGAGGCGGGTTAAGGTACAAGGGGAGCCAAAGGTAAAGTGGCGGAGGCTCGAGGGGAATCTCCAACAAAGTTTTGCACACAAAATGTTGGAGGAAGATGTATGGTCTTTTGATAATGACGCACACGTGGATGATGTGTGGTTATCAATGGAGTCCACCATTAACAAAGTGGCGAAGGATATACTATGAGAATCTAAAGGATGTATGCCACCAAAAAAGGACATGTCTTGGTGGAATGATGAGGTGAAACAAGCAATAAGGACCAAAAGGGAATGCTATAAGAAATTGGGCAAAAGTCGGAGCGGCGAGAACTTAGAGGAGTACAAGGAGGCCAGAAGAAGAGCGAGGAAAGTTGTGAAGGAAGCCAGAGGAAAAGTGAACAAGGGATTGTATGTAAAATTGAACTCTAAGGAAGGAGAAAAAGATATCTACAGACTTGCTCAGGACATCACCGGCTCAGCCTGCCGACTTCAGGAGCTCCCTGGATCTATGCCGCTTCATCCAACCATCCAGGTATTAACCGTATTATACAATACCCCACCGCCCAATTCTATAATTTGTTATTGTGTATTTGTCTTCCTGGTTTAAGTTTTATATTTGACTTTTTATTTATTTAAAAGTTCTGTTTTCATTTATTAAAAGTTACGTATGCAAGCAAGTATGCAATTAATGAATTTAACTTTTAACTTTTTATTTAACTTTTTATTCAAGTTCTAAAAAGTTCTGGTGAGCAGGTTTTTATTTAACTTTTTATTTATTTAAAAGTTTTTTTAGTTAAATAGTTGTCTGTTTATTTAACTGTTTAATTTTTTACTGTTTAATTAATGTATTTGTGTCTATTTTGAATTTGAAAGATCATAAATGTCTGTTTGTGTTTATGTGTGATGTGTCAGACAAAGTTATTAATGATTTCATGAGCCTAGTGTTATGAATTATTAAAAGTTACGTAGTATTACGTATTAAATAGTTGTCTGTTTATTTAATTTTTTAGTGTTTAATTAATATATTTGTGTCTGTTTTGAATTTAAAAAATCATATATGTCTGTTTGTGTTTTATGTGTGATGTGTCAGATCAAATTATTAATGAATTTATGAGCCTAGTGTTTAACTTTGAAGTTCTAATAAGTAATAATACAACTATCATTTACGGATTTACATTACTAAATACTAATTTATTTGTTAAAAATTTAATACTACGTACTTTAGTAGTTTACTTCAGTCAAGATTTAATTTTAATTAGACATGTTATAGTTAAGTTCATACAGTTCGATTATATTTTTTTATTAAAGTTGATTATCAATTATTTAGTTATTTATTGTGAGTAGTTTACTTAAATTCTTGTAAAAAAATCATTTTATTCATAGGAGTGGGCTGATTACTCACGATGGTTAAACCCAGTAAGAATCAGGGAGAGGGGTCTAGCTCAAATAAGGATAAGGATCCTGCTTGGCAGTATGGAATTAAATTAAATCCTCCGGCAGGAAAGACTGGTTATGTATATGCAAAATGCAAATATTGCAATAAGGTGATCACCGGTGGATTGGGGAGACTTAAAGAGCACCTTGCGGGAACACATAAAAATGTGGCGCCATGCAAAAGTGTTCCCGAAAATGTTAAAAAGGATGTGCTAGCAATGTTGAAGAACTATCAAGATCAGAAACACGTTAACCAGAAGTTTTTTGATGAAATGGTAGATTTTGGCTCGTACTTTGGTACTGGAGTAACTGGACCTCAACCGCGTGGGCCTATTGATCGCTTCGTTACTCGTCCAGGTAGTAGCTCAGGACATGTAGCAAATGAGCAGGAAGTTGTAGAAGATATTCTGCCTAACAAAATGAGTAAAACTACCATGAGAGAGCGATGCAATCTTGTTTGTCAAGATGTGGGCAGATTTTTCTTTGAAAATGCAATAGCATTTAATGTAGCCCGCAATCCTTCTTATTTTAACATGTTGTGTTCTGTTAGTAATTATGGTGCAGGCTTTAAACCCCCATCTATGCATGAGTTGCGGACGTGGATCCTTAAAGCGGAATATGATACCACGAACACATATGTGGAAGAAGTGAAGAAGACATGGCCGCACATCGGAGTTACGATAATGTCAGATGGGTGGAGCGACACAAGAAACCGAGGGCTTCTTAACATACTTGTTAACAACCAATATGGTAATGTTTTCCTTAGATCTATTGATGCATCAGATCGAGTTAAAGATGCAACTTATCTTTTTGAATTGCTCGACGGAGTGGTTGAGGAAATAGGAGAAAGTTTGGTAGTGCAAATCGTGACAGATAATGCAAGTGCATACAAAGCTGCTGGGAGACTTTTAATGGAGAAGAGGAAGCACCTGTATTGGACGCCATGTGCCGCCCATTGTATTGACCTCATGCTTGAGAAGATTGGAGAGCTGACACGGAATAAAAATGTGTTGATCAAAGCTAAGAAGGTCACTAATTTTATCTATAATCGTGGATGGATTTTGCAGCTGATGAGGAAGTATATCGGGAAAGACCTAGTTCGTCCAGGCCCCACGAGGTTTGATACTGCGTTCTTGACTTTAGATTGCATGGCCACCGTAAAAGATCCCCTGCAAAGAATGTTTGTTTCTCAAGAATGGACTTCAAGTCGTTATGCAAGTTTAGTTGAGGGGAAGGAGGTTAAAAAGATTGTGATGGATGACAGAACTTTTTGGCCTGGGGTTGCTTACTCAATAAAAACAACAAGGCCATTAGTTGAAGTGTTGAGGATTGTTGATGGTGATGAGCCTGCAATGGAATTCATCTACGGTGCTATGGATTCAGCAAAAGAAAAAATCGCAGAGAATTTTGGAAATCAATATTCCACTTATAGTGAGATTTGGAAGATAATTGATAGGAAGTGGGAGCACCAACTGCATCGGGACTTGCATGTTGCAGTGTATTATTTGAATCCTAGATTCAAATGGGAGGATGACTTCTCTACTCATGTGGAGGTTAAAAAAGGTTTGTACGCTTGTATGGAGAGGCTTATTTCTGATAGTAGTGATTTTAACAAAGCTGATGCACAAATGTATGAATATCGATACAAGCGTGGACTTTTCGGAATGAGGGCGGCTCAAAATGGGAGGAAGAGCCGATTGCAAAAGAAAGAGGATAATTTGATCTTCGAAAATGTATCATCTGATGATGAGTGGATTGCTGAACCGAATGCAGATGATGGAGAAAGTGCAGATGCACGTGCTCAACTTGCATTAGTTGTTGATGAAATGGACAACGAATTCAGAGGTTCATAACTAAATATTTTATTTTTTTGTCACTTCAATGCAATTATTTACACTCAACTTCCATCCTGTTTCATTCTATTTTTGTGACTTTATGTGTGTAGGGGTGGACCTTACGGTTGGAACTGAAGAAGATAATGAGGCCCGTGATAATGAAGGAGATGACAATGAGAATGACATTACTAATTTGGATACTAATTAAGAGGACGATAGGCTTAGTTTCGAAGATTAATGGTTGCAATTTGTCAATTTGCAAACTTAAATTCCTAAACTTTTATGTTCTTGTCTTAGAATTTTAATGTTTTATGTTCTTTTGAGTTTTGACTTTGGTATTTCAGTTTTATATTATTTTCACTTGAATATTTTATAGTTATGTTATTTTTAATTGTGATTTTGTTTAGCTACGTAATTGTTATGAATTATCTATACTTTCTGATATGTCATAGGCTTGTAGCAACACGTAAGCAATTAAACTTGAGGCTTACGCCTCGTTACGCCTCAGAAGGCTACCGCCGAACGCCTCGAGGCCCGATTTCGCCTTTCAAAACCTTGGCAAAGACTTCGTAAAAGTGTGAAAATTTCGAAGAATCAATTTGGTTTTATGCCTGGACGCTCAACAACTGAGGTCATTCACCTTCTTAGGCAAGTTGTGGAGATGTATAGAGACACAAAACAGGATCTACGTTTGGGGTTCATTGACTTACAAAAGGCATATGATAGGGTACCTCGAGAAGTCCTTTGGTGGACCTTAACTAGAAAGGCATATCACGTAAGTAAATCAGTATCATCATGGATATGTATAATGTTTGTACTACAAGTGTCCGCACTAGTGTAGGGAGGACCGCAAAGTTCACTATTACTATCGAAGTGCATCAAGGATCTGCTCTGAGTCCTTTCTTATTTGTTATAGTCATGGATGAACTTACGAATCAATTTAAGAAGATATACCGTGGTGCATGATGTTTGCCGACGATATTGTATTGATTGATGAGACACAATCCGGTGTTAAAGCGAAGTTGGAAGTATGGCACAAACATTGGAGACCAAGGATTTCAGACCGAGCCGAAGCAAGACTGAGTATATGGAGCGCAAGTTTGGTGGAGGTAGAAGTAGTAGCAACAGTAAGATTACTCTTGATGGTAAGGAGATACCGATGTGTGATATGTTTCGTTATTTGGGCTCCATAATTCAGAAGGATGGCGAATTAGATGAAGATGTATGTCATAGAATCAAAGCTGGGTGGATGAAATGGAGGAGTGCATCAGGATTTCTATGTGATCGAGGTATGCTGACTAGACTGAAAGGTAAATTTTATTGAACAACAATTAGGCTTGCATTATAGTATGGTGTAGAGTGTTGGGCCGTGAAGCAATGCCACATTCAAAAGATGAGTGTGGCAGAGATGCGTATGTTGTGTTGGATGTGTGGACATACCAGAAAAGACCGCTCGAGGAATGAGATAATCAGACAAAAGGTGGAAGTAGCACCTATAGAAGATAAGATGCAAGAGTCTCATTTGCGATGGTTTGAGCATGTGCGTAGAAGACGGAGTGATACACCTCTTAGATGACTTGAGGGGTGGGAGGAGAGATAGAGAAGAGAGGAAGGGGAAGACCCAAACAGACTTGGAGTACAAGAATCAGAACTGATATGCGTCTTCTTGGGTTGGATGAGAGTATGGCTTTGGAGAGAGCAAAGTGGAGGGCGCACATCCGTGTGAACGATTGATGTATTTTCTACATTTCCTCTCTTTTTTATTTTATCGTTTATCTTCTTTATCCTTTTATATTCTTATGTTATTTTATCTTCTAGCTTTTTATGCTCTTTTATCTTTCTATCTTTTATCTTTCTTATATTCTTATGTTATTGTTATCTTATATTTATTTATCTTTATCTTATCCGTTTTATCTTACTTCCCCCGTCTCTCTCTGTTTGGCATCAATATCATTGATCGATTCATGTTAGCCGACCCCAAATTCGTTTGGGATTAAGGCTTGAATGTTGTTGTTGTTGTAGACACACCAAATTAAAACATGAGGATTAACTTGGGAAAGAGGGAGCATATCATTCAGGTGTGTAGACAACTAATATGCATCTCCTAAAAATTTAAATGAATGCGTGCAAACAATATAGCATTCGTGTGTAGTAAACAATCTCTAAGCAAAGTGACGAACAGGAAGTATTAAACACTACATTTAAGTCCTACATGTAAACCCAATCAAGTCGGATTATCAAAACGTAGTGCTTGATGTAAAATAGGAAGATCAAAGGTAAGGAAAACAGTATGACATGAAAGAAACAATAAAATGAAAAGACTATTGGGATGGTAACTGAAATGGCAAATTGGCAATTCGGAACTTGAGCATGTAATTTGCAAAGTACCTCCCATTTGGTAGCTTTATTATGTTGATAGCATCATCCTCAACACCTGTGTAACCTTTAACTAGTCTACATGGAATCCCAACATGGTCAGCCAAAACCTGCAGTAAAAAGAGAAAGCAAAGCATTTAAAATGAAAAACAGGTTGTAATATGATAGGGGCCCAACACTTCTCTTATTAAGTAGCTTAATAGTGTACAATAAGAGGCTTTTAGGCCCAGTAAATTAGTGAGTGAGGGCCGGCTAATTAGGAGTGTATTACAATAAGCGCAGGCAAGGGGAAAAGGGGTAGGCAGACTTTGGGATCAGACTGGGAACTGGGAGTGTGAGACTACTCAAAGTGTTTCACTTGAATTTTCTGTTTCTGTTTCTTCTCTTTCTTGTACGCTAGGCTACAGTTTCTCCCATTGTATTTGCTTCAGGAGTTCAGAGGTTCTCTTTTTTCCTTACTTAATACACATAAACTGTAGGGTCTCTATCATTGGTATCGGAGCACTATTTCCTGGGGTACGGTGGATGCCGATTACATGAATGTAGATGGAAAATCGAGTGGGCAAGGTGGAATGGAACCTGGAAGAGATGCGAGCAGATATGGATGGAATACGATCGGATATGCAAAGATGCATCAGCTCTTACTCAACCTAGGTCATAGGCCGTCCAGGGGGCGATCACGATACTCGCAAAAGCAATTGTCGTCGAACAGCAGGAGTTGGTCACACTCCAATGGTAAGTCTCATAGCTCTGTAGCTTCGTCGAACTCCACAGGTAAATCTAATACCTCGCGATCTATCTCTTTTCGACGCAAAACCAGTGCGAACAGAATGTTTGTTAGAACTGGAAGGAGGATTGATCTTCCGTTATTTAATGGCGAGGATGCTAAAGGGTGGACCTGTTAGGAAATTGAAGTAACGTACCTCAAAAGTACAGCCGCGGAAGTTTAAAATTTTCCCAACTTCCTTGATTATGACAAAACAGCGAATATAACAATAATAATAAATCTGAGTTAGAACTTACAAATCTTTCAGCCTAACGGTGACAATCCTTGACCTTAGGAATCCACATGATTTCTCTGTTAGATCTCTCTTAGAGAAAGGCTGGGAAATCTCTTCGCAAGGAAATAAACTGGTAATACTGAATCTAGAAAACTGGTCACTGAATAATGAAGGAGGATGATGTATTTATACTAGTTCTAAACTAGTTTCCTAATCACAATGAAAGTCTTACTCATTAATGAGTTCCAGTCCTACCAGGACCAGTACTCCATATTGTTTATTGTTTAATTAAATAAATAGTAAAATACTAAAATAATACAAGAGGGAAGGAGGGTTCACGTACGCCGCTCTCTTCCACTCTTTTGTATCATTTAGTATTTCAATTTCTTTTGTAATTCTAAATTATAAAATAAATAACCATCTTTATTTAATTAAAAATACATCTTAATTAAGTATAATAAATCTAATTTATTGCACTTAATTAATTCTATAAAATAGAACTCTCCTTCAACATCATGAATCAAATATAATTTAGTCTAACTAATATTTAATCCATTTTCAGTATTATGAATTAAATATTACTTAATCTAATTAATATTTAATTCCTTCTAACAATTCAATCGGAAGGTATAATCACTTGTTGTGTGACCCATAGGGCCTTATATATTAAGCGTTAATCAAATTAAGGTCTTAGCAGAATCCCTAGACGATTTACCAGAAAAACTTAATATATATGGACGTTTGCGAGGACTTTTCAAACTCCCTGTAATATAGAGCTCATAGTGATACGGTCCTTTCATTCAACGAACATTCAACTAAGCCTAGAACTTGATATTGTGTCTATTCCAATAACTTAGTCTCAATCTCTCAATCTTTCTAGAGGATCCATAACGATCATATTCGATATCCAAAACGAATATATCTTTGCATTGGTCAATGACTTTATGATCTATCTAGATATGAGAAGTAGAATGTTCTCTCTTAATCTATTACGAGGAATGAATCCTTTCTTGGCTCAAGTACTACTACATGTGCTTCGTGATGCACTGAACACATGCCGTATCTACTCCGATTGGAGTGCAAGTGTTGGTCATGGTCAAAGCACATCACTCCGCACATCTAGTACGTATTGACCTCAAGTCGGAGGACTATTACACTACTCTATACATCGATAATCCCATAGACACGTGAATAGAACTTATCAAATGGTTTCTCGGTGGGTATGCCAATTCTCTAAAATATCTATGTGACCAACATGAATTACAACAACTCGTAGTTGTGAGATCAACTATACTTTTTAAGAGTATGATGCAGTCCACATACCAATCTTATCGCATATCATCAATATCCCTTTCTTGATGATCATTGATCGGGGCTATTTTAGGACCTTGTGTTACATCATATAAGCTCCCACTTACTTGTTGAAAACATAAGTCCAAGGAAACACAATTATGAATAAGACATTGACAATCGAAATGCTTAATATCAATGTGAAATACTGTATATATCAAATATATAAAACTGAATGTGATCAAGTATATATATTTCTAAAAAGTGATTGCCGCTAAGACATATATATACTAACAGGACCATCAGGGTAGAAAGGTATTCCAAGTTGAATAACATACTAGAAGAAGATAAGGTTGAGTTGGCAACCCTTGCCATGGAGGACAAAGCATTAAACTGGTACCAATGGTGGGAGGGACAATATGATGAACGGGCCTGGGAACAGTTCAAAGCAGCCTTAATCAGAAGGTTTCAAACGGAATTAGTTCAAAATCCATTTGGACCTATGCTCAGCGTCAAGCAAACTGGAAGCGTAATGGATTGTAGGGAGGATTTGAAGTGGTAGTCGCACCGCTGAGGCAAACTGATACAAAGATGCTGCAAGGAATTTTTCTGAATAGCTTGAAGGATGAGGTGAGAGCTGAACTGAAACTTTATCTATCCGCTTCTCTATCTGAATTAATGGATCGAGCTCTGCTGTTAAAAGAGATAAACACTGCTATGAGATCAGGGATACATAAGGAAGAAGACAAAAAGTGCTGGAAACAGAGAGGGACTATGGTGGAAGCAGCGAAGGGAAGAACACGTCCTATTCAAAGAACACAGTCAGAGAACAAGCAGACTCTTTGAGAGGGCACATTCAGAGAACAAGCTGGAGGAATCACCAAAACCGAATAATGCATGGGAGCGAGGCCAAAGGTTGACACAAGCAGAGTTGGAAGAAAGAAGTAAAAAGGGCATATGCTTCAAATGTGGAAACAAATGGAGCAAAGAGCATGTTTTTGGAACGAAACATTATCAATTTGTGTTGATGGAAGAGCCACAAGAAGAGAAGGGAACAAGTGATCAGCAGTCTGAATTGAACATAACAGATAACCCACTGAAACCTAATGTCAGATCAGTTTCTTACTACCCACCTTGAGGACAAGGTGATAGTTAAAGGGGGGAGTGATGACCGAGACCCGACACTTCTCTTGTTCAGTAGCTTAACAGTGTATAATAAGAGAATCTCAGGCCCAATAAATTAGTGGATGAGGGCCGGCCGCATAGGAGTGTATTATAATAAGCACAGTCAAGGGGAAAAGGGGTACACAGACTTTTGAGATCGGACTGGAACTGGGAGTGTGAGACGACTCGAAGTGTCTCACTTATATTTTCCGTTTCTGTTTCTTCTCTTTCTTGTATGCTAGGCTACGGTTTCTGCCATTGTATTCGCTTCAGGAATTCGAAGGTTTTCTCTGTTTTCTCTACTTAATATACATAAACTGTAGGGTCTCTATCATAATATGGGACCAGTTTGTATGCATTAACCTCTGGGGATAAATCACAGATTCAGTTAACCGAAGAACCAGTCTGAATTTGGGTGTCACTTCTCATTGAGGACCAAACTTGAAATCTATGTAAGTGTGGGGAGCAACACAGAACAATTGACATTAAAACTTGAACTGGCTATTTAGTAAAATATCTCCATCATATTTTAGTTGTTCGCTTTAAATACACTATATGTATATAAATGGTCAGTGTGTGCTTCTAGCATCCCAATTCATGCAATAACAACAATTTGTTCAGTTGTTCAAAACCTTCTTATATATACTCTTGAACAGAACCTTTTGATGATACAAGAATGAGTCCACCAATAAAGTTAAATAGCACTAGCTTTAATGGAAGTATAGTACTCACCTTGAACAGCAACGCACGATGACGTGACAACCCGATATTTAAGGATCCTATAGGCAGCACACTGGTGTGAAGAGAAGTTCTCAATTCCATACTTTTTTCCATCCATCTAGTTAGTATGATATTTGCATCTTTCACCTGCCCACCTAAATGTTCTATTACAAGTTCAGCAAGTCTCTGAACTAGCAGACCAATCTGATCTATGGGGGAATCTAATGTTATGCAATGTGCAATCTGTATAAGCTCCTCCAATGATGGGTCAATTTTCTGATTCACTATCACAACTTCAAAGTCAGAACTTCCACCATTCGTTTCAAGTTCAGAAAGAGACGGCATTTTCCCCCGACTTGCAGGACTTGTGAAGAGGCTATATACATCATAGAAACCATCAACAACTTTTTCCTCATAGTCAAGAATGCTGTAATCCTAATGAATAAAATAAAACGAAGTTGTAAAGAAATGGCTAGGGATACAAATAACTAAGGCATATCATCCATCAAACAATCACTGACAAACTTCAAAAAAAGGAAACAGTAACACTATGGAAGTTTCTTTACGTGTAGCAATGAGCCAATGAGAGGAAGTGAGGAGGCAGTATATCTGTTTGTTTATTTTTTCTTGTTATAATATAAATTTCAGGGTGGGGATTGGTAAAATGACTTTCTACTAAGCCTCCATTAATCAAGGATATGAAATCTAGTACTCACCCAATACCGACTCGACAGAAAGTCAGCAGCAGCTTCCTCCCTTTCTCGAGCAGATTCAGCACTATATCTCCCTCCACCGAGGATCTGACCTTTACCGGAGTCAAAGGAAGACTCCTCAGCGTGGGATGAGGAAACACTGAGTGCTAAGGCAAGCTGTATCTGGTAATCCTCTTCGGAGGCATAGTAGTCATGTTGAGGATTGATAGCAGGCGCTCCTCTAGCGGTAAGCGGCGCGGCGGCAGCTGAAGTAGATGAGGCAGTCGAAGGACTCTGCGGATGCTGAGAGGTGCTAGATTCGCGCTGATGGGCAGACGATGGGGAAGATGATGACGTGAGCACGGTAGAGGAAGACGAAGGCTGAGGAGTCTCGTTCGATCGGTTGGGGTGGTGAGGCTTCTTCTTGAAAATGTTCTTCATAGATGGTTGCGTTGAGTTTGCCTCTCTCGGAGTCACAGATCAGTACAGTCGAATGAATTTGCGGCAGATTTATTTAGGAAAATGGTCGCAGAGGGGAAATAAGTCAAATAACTACCTGGACCGCTGGACACACCTCAAATCTTTTTCTCTTTCTCTGGTGCTACTACATGACAACTTTCAATTTTGATATAGGTACCCAATTTACCCCATTTTGTACAATTGTACCCATATAAAAACCTTCCAAAACATTTACCCCTCATTTCACCTCCCCTCCTTACACAACCTTTCCCCTCAACTCTATTTCCAAATCTCCAGCCCCTCCCACCTTTTTCCTTCCCCATCAACTTTCCAAAAACTCTCACTCTCAACAGTTCCCAACCCATCCGCCACAATTGCCGTCCTCACCCCCACGAACCAACCGCCGCTGTTTATCAAGAATCCCAAATTCAGGAACAAAATAGCTACTCCGTTTATCCAATGATCAGAATGTGTCATGCGAATCATGTGTGCCTCCTTGGAAAGTTTCTAATGTACAGGGTTTGTCTTCAAGAAAAGAAGCACGCAAACTAGCAGAGGCGGACCCAGGACACTGGGCCGAATTGGGCCGGTACAAAGAATTTTTTTAGAAAAAAAAATACATGGAAATTTTTACCTTAAAAATTAAGCCATTTTTAAAATTTGGGGTGGGTCATGGCCTAGGTTGGCCCACCCCTAGCTCCGCCCATGCAAACTAATACTTGCATATGTTTTGCTTCGTAAGTTACGGTGGAGCACCCTAGGCTTGCAGTTTGACTAGTCCAAGGTCTTCTTTATTTTCTTCATTTGAAGTCTATAGATTCCATTGATTCTCCTGCACGCACTTTTTGTGGTTCTGAATTCTGATGAGTTCGCCATCAGATCTCTGGTGGTAGAGGTCGGGGGAAGTCCCATGACCTTTTATCGAGGCAGTGAAGAGGCAGTTCCCGTCCGACTGTAACTCCCGTCCGGCAGTGAAGATGGTCTTTTTTCCTCATTTTTTGGTACTAGTTACGTGACGCGCGTTGCGCGATCAGGAAAATGCCCAATAACAACTATAATCATATAACTCAAAGCTACAATGAGATGAGACATATAAACAGACGATTAAAATTGAAAAAGCTAAACCGCTAATCTTGTAAAGAAATAGACTCTACATTCAGGTCGACGGCTCCTGCTACGATCACAATATATAATTCTCAAACAAACTACTTCGTATTAAACATCCCGATTTGTCCAGCCACCGGCAAGGAGCCAAGTGTAAAATTTATTCCGCTTCTCCCAGCCACCGGAAAGAAACCAGTCCATGTGATCTCAACTTCTTGGAACAACGGTGGTTCAGGAGGGGGTGATTTGTTACAATATCATCGCAGATGAAAATCATATTCTCAATTGATGAAGATATTAATGCAAACCTCTTATTAGCACACATGAACACCCGACCGAAGATGACGGCGAATATAAATTTGGCAGACAACACTACGCCATCGAAAATAATCTCTAAACGACGTTATAAAAGAAACATATAGATAAAATTGAAACCACTGACCAAGTATACATTTTTCATTGTTATCTATAATGCTAATATGTGAATTTGTTTCTTAATTATAAACTTGTGCATGGAAGTAATGCTAGCTATTTTCAAAAAAAGAAGTAATGCTAGCCGCTTGAACACTAATAATTAATGAAAGGAATTGCATATATTACGATGGTTGCAATGTAATCAGTTCATGATTGAAAGCACAAAATGATGAGAAGTAATGTTTGAAGATGATTGAAAGCACACAAATTATTTAAATCATGATTTGTACAAAATGATGAAAAAATCTAAAGGTACACACTTTGTGTACACACTCTTACACACTCGTGTCTGTGTAGACGTTTTTTTGTCTGTCCCAGACAAAACGTATTTGTCAAATACGTTGTCTGGGACAAAAAAACGCCTACACAGACACGAGTGTGTAAGAGTGTGTACACAAGTGTGTACCCCAAGTCCGGTTCCAAAATGATGGGTCATGAGGGTGGGTAATCATCACTAACTACTGATCCACCAGTAATTCAGAAAGTTGTAATTATACTTCCCTTTAAAACATCCAGATGCCGTCCATGGTTAGAGTGGGATCCATGAAGTAGGGGCGTAGGCACGAGGGCCTAGGTCAGCTATGAGCCCACTCAAATTTACTGAAAAAATGTTAGTGATTGGCTCATATTTCCTCTTTGATCCATTTTATTAAGATTGTATCATACTCCGTATCAAATTTGATAAAGTTTTGTGATTCTAAATCATTATTATTTATGAGTGGCTCGGCGTCGTCAATTACAGTTGTTTGACGCCACCAGTTACAGTCACCCAACTCACTAGTTACAGTTACTCAATCCGACCAATTACAGTTACCTGACTGGAATTACAGTTATCTGACTCGCCAATTATAATTACTCGACTTGATCACTTACGATTATCCGACCCGCCAGCTATAGTTACTCGGTCAGTGAGTTACAGTTACAGGACTCGCTAGTTACAGTTACTTGCCATGTTCAGTTATAGTTACTTGTCTGCCATTTACAATTACCTGACCCGTTCAGTTACTTGACTTGACGATTACAACCGCCATCCACCTGATTTTCAAACGCCACCCGCCACCCCGTTGTCGCAACACCGCTGCCCACTGCCCGTCGTCCCGCTGCTGCAACACCACCGCCCGCCGCCACACCATCGGCATCCCACAAACTGCCTACTGCCACTGGCCCCAACCCCCTTCCCTGACCCCCCTGCCCTGATCCCCATGTTCATCAGTCTGCCCCCTGCCCCCTCCACAGGCCCAGGTCTGACTAGCACAACCGAGCCCCGATTTACTTCTCCCTAGTCCACCGCCGCCCGACAGACCAACAAACCTTAGCCACCGCCAATTCGTCAAAACTCTAATCGACACCCATAATCCCTAATCTCATTGTTGACTTAAAGCTCTAGCCGTGTCACCACAACCGCCCTCGATCTAAAGCCTTAGCTACCATCTCCGTCATCGGGCTCTACCAATGCCTGACGACGAAGTTGGCGACGTAGAGAATAGAACCCCGTCGAGTAGAAGACGAACGTTGGCGGCGTTATGATAGGGAAAGCAGAGGCGATCCAAGAAGAAATGAGAAGAAATCATAATGAAAAAAGGAGAACAAATCAGATAGATCTGCCACGTGCAGTTGAGGAGTTGCTTTGGAGGAATGAACAAGGAAGGTGCGCAACGTGGAGACAAATTATAATAGGTACCCCAACTTCTACCCCAATTTGTACCCATATAAGAATCTTCCCAATTTTTACCCCCATCTCTCTTTTCTTGCGCCTACCCCCCCCCCCCCCCCCCTCTTTCCTTCTTTTCTTTACGCCATACTCCTCCTCTTATTTCCCATCTTCTCCTTCCCTCTTTTTTTTGTTTCTTCCTATTCTATAAAATGGAATAAAATAGAAGGCAACATGGCCATATCAAGCAAAACTGTCTCGTCTTTAGCTACTCCCTCTTCCATTGTTTTTTTCATGTCAAACGTGGGAGTTATAATGCTCGAACGAACGGATGCCGTTTTGGATGCAACCTGAAGGGAAAACAACGATGAAGGTGCAGACCAAGAAGCTTTGAATGACTCGAGTAGATCTTCTTCTTCTTTATTTTGTTTTCTTGACTTTTGGTGTGTTTTCGAAATGAAAGGAGTTGTCTGTTTGACAGAAAAACTTGTAATTGCAGTGTTTGTATACTCAAACATGGTTTCATAGTTGGTGAAACCTTGAATTAAAATGTTTGTCACACAGACACCTCATTTGTTTGTCTACATGTAACTACTGTCTTTATGCACATACAAGTATTGGTACAACTGTATTTCTTAGTACATTTTGATGAGTTTACTAATTGTTGATGTAGTTATATAAAAGTGTTCGGACATATGGTTGTAGTTGTTAATTTACAGATGAATTTGGTGAAAACAAAACATGCATATTATTGTGTGTGTGGACAGACAAAATAATGTGTTGTGTTTTGTATTATTTTGAACATGCATATTTATTTGGAATAACAGAAGAAATGGATGAAAATAGTTGTATTAACGACCGATTGTGATGGTGTCTGGACTGCGACCTTCGGCTGAGGATTCTCCCACAGGGTTGCCGCAGTCAGGGCTCGCCAATGAGTTTGGATCAGCGGCAGGGGACACCGAGTGGGCGCCTCGGCGCTGCCAAAAGTTTACTTCACCAAACGATGATAGATCAGCACACATCTCTACTCCCTTTCGCCTTGAGTACTCTCGACTAAGGGAGTAAGGGACTCCTGCTAGGGTGTATGGACTCGAAACCTCAGTCTCATGACTATTGGGCCCGAACAGAGGCCCACGTACGCTCATAAATAGCATTTACATTATTGTACATTCTATTTATTCATATATACCCATTAGAATAGATTAGATACAATTTTTTATCCATTTATTGGCCTTTTATTGTAACTGGGTCTGGCATGCCCAAGCCTAGAAGTCCAACCCACTTTTATCCTATAAATACTCCCTTTGGGACCCATGTAAAGGGTTGCATACTAATTTATATAAATCAAAATAATCTATCAAAATAGTTTAAGACTACAATGGGATAAGACTTGGAAAGGAAAAGATTCAATGAATCTTTCCATACCGTTAATTGCGTAATAATGTAGTCTAGTATAAGAACCTTGTTTCATTTGCTACGCCAAATAAAAAATAAAAAATTACAACAACAAAAAATTACCTTCACTTAGATATTATTATGAATTCTTAAAAAGCGGGGGGGGGGGGGGGGGGGGGGGGGGGGCTTACCCCTAAAATACATGAAAAACATAAATAAAAGCTTGTAAGTATGAATGAAGATAATGAAAAACTTTTTGCACAAGGGCAATAATGGTATGAAAAACCATCTATTAGTCATACATCTAAATAATATTAAGTTGATTGTGTAACATCGTCCCCAAGTATATTTACTTTTTAGTAAATCATGTAATAAACCTTGAGGAATGAATTATGAATTTACGAGGTTGTAAATTTTTGTTAATTCTGTTGCGTGAATAGTCAATTGTACATGGGGCCCACGCCGGGAACGGTGACCACCCGATAATTCTGGGACCACATAT